TATGTATATAAAAATATATATATGCACTTGATAGGATGTAGAGATAGGTGTACTTGCAAAATAAGGATCAAAGCTGGGAATTGACTTTTCTCATTCGGAAGATCTACCTGTCATTATTTTTCAGTTTAAAGAGGTTGTGGTAAGGTTAAAATCTCATATATTTTGTAATTTAAGATCTTTCTAGCATACAAGAGTGCAGGAAGGTCTGTGGTCTGTCTTCCTAATGCACATCTACATCTTGCACTTTTTTCTGAATTAGCAAATAATAAAAAATTAACGTATATGCAGTGTTCACATGCAAATTTTTCAGGTTGTAAAACAATTGTCATATTCTGTGGGAAGATCACAAAACCTTTATTTATAGTGCAAAGGGAGAATTACAGGAGCAATATCCACTTGTATTTTTAAACACTTTATCTTCTATAGGAGTGGTGATACCAAATGCTCCTTCACATAAGTGCTTTACATGTTTGACTTAGAGCACTGAATATTTTTTGAAAACAAGCCTCAGTTATCAATTTGAATATTATTAAAATGTGAACATTATTATATTCCTAAAATGAAACAAAACATAGACAGTTTTACCTCTTCATGCGCTTTTTTTATTTATGAGACTGTCAAAAATTATATGACATGTTCTCAATTCCATTTGAACTACTTCCCAGGAACAGTGGCTGTATTGCTTATCTTTTAGAAATTTGTTGATTCTTTGAAAGTACTTTTTTATGCTGTATGTAGCACTTTGTAGGATCCATGTTTCAAAGCTATTCCTTGCTTTTGATTGTTCTTCTAACAAACATGTCTCCAATTCTTCTATTTGATAATTAATTCCATTTTGAAATGTCTCCATCTTGCTTGTATTGTAAGCATCAGCCGGAAAATTTTTGCTGAATAGTTGGAAGATCTGTTGGAGGAACTCATAGATGATCATTGTCATGTTCTTCTGTGTGACCTTGGTAATCTCCATGGGGAATCTGAAATCAGTTGTTTTGCTGAGACATTGCTGAGGAAAATAGCCACCTGTTGTCCTCATCAGGTTCATGTTGTGGTAGTTCACATTGATTCCTTGGAAGAGACAAACTGAATGTGAGATTTTCATGTACAAAGCCAACATAATGCAAACTTGCAAGAAACTTCCCTGAACCAAGATGGTCATGCTGATGGAGGAGTCAGCACTATTTTCCTTTTGCTTTTGCAGATCTGTAAGCTTGCAGTATATGGGTTGTCTTGTCATGCTTCTCTTTTACATCTCTGAATTTATTTCCTCTGTATGACATGGTGGGTATTACTCATTTTGTAGGAATGGCGTTTTCTGTCAACTGTGGTCCTGCCAAGGTTTACTGTTTATTTCCGTTTCACAGAGTTGCAATTGTTTGCTCCTTTCTGCTTTGTCTGTATTAAATTGAAAAAAGAATAAGTCAGTCACTCCTGTGAGTCAGAGGACCTGGACAGATCAGCAGGTTTGAGTCTGGTGAAGGTGTTTAGTCTTCTCATGAAGACAGGCAGTCTTGCTTTATGCTGGCCTTTATGCTTAAGTTGGAAAAGACAGTGGAAAGGAATCAAATCCCTAGCTAACAGATATGTGATCGAAGCAAGATGTCCTTTTATTGATTTAAGATCAGATGTCTTTTTTGGTATGATAAATTGTTTTGTTAGGGGAGTGGCGTAAATTTTATTAGCAAAATAACCCTGTTGTGGACACAAGCATTGACTCACTAAGGCCGTATGTTGCTATCACTATGTTGGCAAAAATAAGTGTATACAACTCTTGAGATAGATACATTTTCTTCAAGACCTCTGACAGTTCACTGCTCAGAGAGCTTGGTTCTACTTCATCTAAATTTTTAGTGTCATAAAGGAAAGTATGCTTTTATATACAGAAGAGAAATTCTTTACGTTTCAGAGTAAGAAAACTCTTGTTCTGAAGCCTCCTCCTGTTGTCCTGAAGCAGGTTATCTCACCCATTGTACAAGAGAAAGTCTGACTCTCTGAAATGCAAAAGAAAGCATCTTTAAAGTCCAAACCAGTGAAATAAGTGTTTGTTCACAATTACTTGGTTTATTCCCCTTGAATCCTGTAGAGCCTATACTTCTGAGAACAAGGCTTCTTTACTGGACTGTATCCAGGGTGTCATTCATGGGTTCCTCTGAGGTCTGGGTCATTAGTAAACAGGTTCAGGCCTTCCATTCATTTTCTTGTGAGATACATAGAGCTTTCTGAATTGAGCATTTAATGTGTACAATAAATCTCATCCCAAAAATGGAAGGGGACATTCTGGCATTGTCATGGTTTAACCTCAGCCAGCAGCCAAGCCCCACGCAGCCACTCACTCACTCCCCCACCAGCAGGTTCGGGCAGAGCATTAGAAAGGTGAAAGCTAGAAAACAGTTTAATAGGGAAAGCAAAAGCCATACACACATGCAGAGCAAACCAAGACAAGGCTTTCAGACCCCAACCCCCCTGTCTATTCCTCTTCTGCTCTTCTTTCAGCTTTTTAATGCTACTCTCTTTTCTTCCACAGAAAAAAGGGTATTCAGTATAGGCTACATAACCCCCCAGTTAGGGTTATCTGTCAGCCTGACAGTTTCCAAAAGCTGTTACATTTGTTTCAAGATTCTCTCAGTAAAAACCAACAGATCATTTACAATTCAACAAATCTGAAGTAGTTGAAGGGACGTGTACAAAAACTGGCAGACCCCCGCACCCATTACTTCTTTTGAAAATGCCTGTATCTCTGGTTAATTATGTCCCCGAGTCCAGCCCGCAAGAGGACCAAAATCCTCAGTTCCTGTAGTTTCTTTATCCATTTATCCATTTATCCTTTTTCTTAATACCTGGATCTTTATACAGTGTCATAAAAGCATCAACATAAACCAAACCTGATCCAATTTACTAAGTCAGTGACCAAACAACCCCAACTCCAAGAAAATATTAAACTGCAACAACCCGTTTTCCCCATTCTCCAATTTATAAGGTGGCTGATATTGATGACGATGTTTATTCATTTAGTATTTAATCATTGGATCTTCCTCAATTTATTTCAGTTTTTCAAAATGCAGCCCAGAGGGCTGCAGGGTGGAATTGTGGACTGGTTTGCTGTTCTGCCAATTGATGGGGCAACAGAAATGACACAGACATCAATGAATAGAATAGGCTTATTTTACTACTGGTGTTTAAGATAATGTAAAAATGAATAATATATTTACACATACAGTGAGTTTACTAAGCCCTAATTTAAGCAGCACAAACAACAAATACAATAAGCAAGGTAATGCACCTAATCATTACTACATGCAAGAAAGAATAGTGATTAAGACAGATACATCACCAATTGCCCTAAAACTTTATGATCCTCCAGATCCACAGTCGCTGGGGAGCCTCTGGTTGCAGCAAGGATTTGGAGAGACTTTCCTGGCAATCGGGAAGTCCTACACAGTGCGTCCCCTCGTAGGTGAGGCGCCCAAGGTCGCTGCAAGAGAGTCCAGCTCTCATAGGCCAAATGAGCAAGCAAAAAATAACTTGTATGTTTTTTGTAGTTGGTACAGATAATACTCCTCTCTGACCAGCTGAGGCCAGGGCTTGGCCAGAGCCCAGGACACGGGTGGTGGAGTTTCTTAAGGTGTCTTGCAGACAGGGCATGGCCTTGGAAATCCTTTGCATACAGATATGTAGCCTGTGCTAAAGTTATCAGTGGTTTAGTCATCTATTTTAGCATTAAACCAACTGCATCTATGTTACTATGTGTCTGCTTTCAGTAGTTCAGTTAACTAACGCAAAAGAGCATTTGTCACAAAAAGTACAGAATTCATCTGTAGGTCAACTCCGTCTTGGGCCTGTTGTCCAAGCCCTAGCATTTCATTTGCCAATACCCAGTTACCTAATTCCTTTATCCTTAGGTCCAGACTGCCAATACAAATCATTTATTACACTCTGCTACGACTCCTTGTCGCCAAAGAGAGGAGAGGCACTCTGTCCTGTCACATGGTTTTGTGTGTAACAACTCTAAAGCCTAGATATTTATTTATTTCCTGATTCTGACCCCATGTTGGATCCAAGTTGTTAATCACACCCCGCTCTGACCCTCTGTCAGTGAAGGCAGGAGAACACCTCCTCCATGTCACCCTGTCCTGGCCAGCATGTTTTCAGCAGCCAGCAAGGGCACACCAGACCCTGGGGTTATTCTATATGAACTCACTGTCACTGTGGAGGGAGGCTTCCTCTAGTGTGGTGCCAACCTTTTTAACTGGTTCCTGTAATCACAAAATGAGAAGTCACATGTGGTTGAAAAGGAAGGCTGGGATGAACATGAAGGTAAGAAAAACAAGGCATTTAGCAGTGGGATTTGCTCTTCTTCGTGTACGAATCTTTAAGGATTGCTAAATCTAAGTGTGAATCTAAGGTCTAGTACAAAGGACTAGGAGTCAACTGAATGGAACTGAGATCCCAGATCTGAATTCACCTAAGTGTTGTCTAGGTTCAAAGTGTTTTAGTTTTCCTGTTTTTTAACTACATCTTTACAAGGTAGATATTCCTAGTTACTGCATGCTTTGGGAGCGTTACCCAGCTTTACCCAAACTCTTTGTCAAGGTTGACTAGTGGAAGCACTGTGATAAATTCTGGAAAAGAAATAAGGAAAAAAAATGGCTGAGGCCTAATAAATGCAAATCATTTTTGTTTTCAGATAGTCCTAGATTCTGAGAGAGAGGCTACGTTAAATTCTGTGTGGCCTTTGTTTCTCTCAGCATTGCCCTCTTTTCTTGCTTAAGACATAATGATGATAGACAATGTTAGTTTATATGATAAGAAACTTGCCTCCTTGCTGCAAAGTAGTGCAGGGAAGCATGAAAGAGCCTGTGTAACACTTTTCCTGGCTGCTCCCAGCCCCATCACAAGAGTCATTAGCTTAGCTCCACAAACCTGAAGGAGCATGGGGACACAGTGGCAATCAGAAACCAAAATTAAGGACTCTAGAAGAGTGCCTTCCGGCATTGTCCTGGGGGAGCCTCACCCCAGTGGCCTCAGAGACAAATGCATTGAGATGAGTCACTGCTAGAACACCCCATAGATTTCCTGGTGTTTGCTGCCTGAAGCTGGGGTATGCATTATGGGATGCAGAGGAAGAGCATTTCAGGATTATACCAGATCTATTATGGAGTGTTTAGGAGAGAAGCCAAAGGCAGGGGAAGTGATGTGATTTGGGAAGGAAAAAACATGTGAAAATAGAAGGATAAAAAGGACTGGTCATGTTTAAAGGGCAGCTGGTCAATACACTTCTCTATTGTGACCTGTGCCTGAAAAGCAGTATGTCCTCTCAATAAACTCCATTTCTTAGTATTTTCCTGGGTGAGGGACTGTTTAACTTTCCAATGGAATTTCCATCTGGCTGCATTGTTGGATTTTTGTGGCTCTAGTGTTTTCATCTGCTTGCAATCAATTGTAATAAACAGACTAGTGTTACTGTTCATCCGTCGGCAAAAAGGTCATCTTGACAGCTAGTAAAATAGCAGTCATGAAAGCACCACCCTAGTGACAGGTCATACAAAGTTCCTAATGTTTTCTCGCTTGCACTTGTTAGTGCTGGTCTAGTTAAAATTGAAGTTTTGTGTGGCAAAATAAAAAAAATCAAAATGCCATACTAGATTTGCTTGGTTTTCCTGGTGAGTAGGTTTTTTTCTTTCTGGCAAGAGTGCCTACAGCACTCTATTTCTTCTCTGTGATTTGAAAAGCTATGAATCACGGAATCCAATAAACGTGATAGGGAAAGGTCCACTGAGTTGCTTCCCACCAACTGCAGAGGAAATGATTCATGATGAATGTGTTTTTAGAAATCTTTGTCAGTCAAATTACTCCTGGGAGCAAGCCTCTAATAGGGCACAGATGATGCTAAGCTGAAGGTGTAGTTTTACCACACACAGCCAAATTGATCTAAAGGTTAGCTCCTACCCAAAGAGCTGGTACTTTTTCTCTCTTGTTTGGCCTTAGGACTATTTCAGCTTGGAAAACTAAGGTGACTGGAAAGCCAATGCTCTTCCCTTTCTCTGGGCACGGATGATGATGATGGATGATGGTGGTGATGACAATTTTTTGTCTGTATTTTTACCTTGAACTGACTAATCAGAATAGGGCTAGTGCTGGCACGTAGGGATGGCCAGGAGA